ACTTCGGAAACAATGCTCGCCTTTGCCTGAACAGGACATGAGAACCCAGGGAGACCTGTGCCCTGGACCCGAGGCATGGGCTCTGCGTCTGGCCATTGATTTTGGAGGCTTTCTGACTGTCTGGTATTGACAAGAAGCACAGAGTCTCACATCTGGAATTCGGTTGTGTCTGCCTCATCCTATCAAGCAGGTGTGGTTGGATGTGAGCGGGTAGAGAGCTGGGATTTACTGAGCTCACAGAGCAGGTGTGGGAACTCTTCTATTGCCCACTTAACCACGGAAGAAATGTCTGCATGTGTGGTTGAATTGGGTTTGAAAGCCATTTTCATACAATCTGGGAGTGAGATTGTGGGGAGCAGCTAGCTCTTACTGAAAGGGTTAGTAATGTTTTAAAGGGTAAAGGTAAAAGTTTGCAAAAGGCAGAAACTGTGAAAAATGTGTTGCTTGCATGACCTCTGCTCAGCCTTCTGCTGAGCATGGACAAGGATTATCTGGATTATCCGCAAGACAATGAATTATCCAGCAGATACAGGAGAAGATACCAGACCAATCCTATTGCAAAGTGGACAGTGGGCCATGCAGAGTACGTCAGCAGGAACTGCCGGAAGCTAGAAGTCGAGTATATAACCGACACCCCAACTGTCATTCGAGGCTGAACCCTTCTCGGCTCAGCCCGCCTGCACCCAGGCACAGGCAATAACGCCGTCTTGCTCTCCATTGGCCTTGCGTGTGGATGTGACCTCCCGCCCGCTTAGGCCTTTTACTCCCCACCTCAGATTCCTTCGGCCGCTTCTTCCGGTTGTGTGTAACTCACTCCCCAATTCCTGAGTCTCTGCAGGAGGAAAAGCCTCCAGGTATTAGTCCTTCATCAAATGCATCATCCTTGCATCTAATTTGTTTTTAATTTTTTCCTTCAGAGTCATAGCCAGATTAGCCCCAGACAGGATTTGAGAACAGCCCCTGGGGAGGGGTAATCTGGAGAGAAGTGCTTATGCTTCATTGGCAAAGCAGTTTATTGCCAACCAATTCTTGTGCCAGGTGCTAATTCTACCCGGTCAGGGTCTTAAACGGCTGCTCAGAGCCACCTGTGAGATCCAACGGACATCAAAGACGCGGGGTGGGCAGAGTCTGGTCTCCCGAGACCACGGCGAAGGTGGGTGCCACCCAGATACGCAGACCTCCCTGTACTTGCCCACTGCTTTCCTACTCAGTGGTACTTTGTCCCCAGAACACTGGGAAGGTGGGAGCTGAAGGGACTCTCAAAATTATCCGGACCAACCATGTCCTCACCAGACAAGGACCCTGTGACTCAGGCAATTTTCATGACTCACCCACTGTCACACAGCGGAACTGGCCAGGGAGCTCTGGCCACTCTCAAACTGCTGCTCAATTCAACTCAACAAATGTGTCCAGGGCCTGCTCTGGGAGTGAGCAAGTCCCCTGTGCTCGGTGAGCTCACAGGACACAGGAGCACTAAGGCCGACCAGGGGAAGAAAGCAGAATTCACGGTGCGGTGAGTCACGAGGAGGCTTTAGCCTTGGAAATAGCGGGGAAGCTTCATGGAGACGCAGCCTTTGAACTGAGCCTTGACAGATGAGCCAAGTATCGAGAGGAGGGACGAGGAGTAGAGGGAGGGCCCCAATGGCATGTCTGGAACCCCCGGGCTGCGGAAAGCAGGGCCAGCAGCAAGGTCAGCCTGGCAGCCCCTCTGCTGGACCCCAGTGGGATGTGCAGAGACCCCAAGAGACCCCTAAGGGCTCCATAGATGGGATCTTGCATGAAGTAAGCACTCCAACTCCGTCTAGATGGATCCCTGAAGAAGGCTGGCTGCTAGGCTCACTTCCTCTCCTGAAGTCCTCTGTGGCCTCCTCATCTCCTCATCTCCTCTCTAGTCTCCTAGAAGGCCACTAGCTGGGTTCCCCTGGGAAAATCTCTCAGCCTCCCCTCCTGCCCACACTCCAAGAGCAAACTCAAAAACCTCCCTGAATGCACGTGCAGAGCCCTCCAGCCCATCATGCTGTCTCATTTCCCCTTCACCATGACCCTTCATTATCTACCTTTCCCCCATTGCCTAGGTGAAAAAAACGAGGGTCCCAGTAATGTACCCAAGGTCCCCCTGCTGGTGCAGAAAGGGGCCAACTCCCCAGACTTCTTCGCACAGTCTCCGAAGCTGATTCCCCAGCCCTGCTTTAAGCTCTGTGACTTGGGCAAATTACTCAACTTCTCTCTGCCCCAATTTCCTCATCTGGAAAACAATCGTAATAATAATGTCATTTATCACGTAGGATTGTTGTGAGGATTAAATGCACTAATATGTACAAAGAGCATAGAAAAGTACCTGGCACATTATAAGTACAACAGAAGTAAGAGCTACTATTAGCATTAACCCTGATCCAGGATCCCAGCAGATTCTTCCTATTAGGTTCCTGGGCATCTCTGGGTGCCCTCAGGCAAGTTGCTCATCCCCTCTGTGCCTATGCACAAAGCTGGCCCTCAGGACAACTGGAATGCTCCCTGAGTTTGTCTCATCTTTCTTCTATTGCCCCCCCATTTCCACTTCTACCCTCAGCAGTTGCTCCCCACAATCCCCCTCCCCACACCCACACCCACACCAAATCAGACAGCTGTCCCAAGAGTCTATGTGAGGAACCGATTCCATCTTTGTATTCAAAAGCTGTCCTTTACAATGGTAGTTTTTAAATGTTCAATACAAAGAACTAGTTGTCTCCTTTAAGAGCCCAGTTTTGAATTTTTTTAAAAAAAAGCTCTCCAGTGAGAAGCAGCTTTGAATCTGCTTCCCAGCAGCAGCAAGGGGATTATCAGCAGAGAACCATATTGCATACTTAATTGCAAAACCATCCCCACAGCCAAAGCCTGGTCTAGGATAAGAGGCAGCTTTGGGCCCTCATAACTGCTACATCCAAGTTCTGCAGAGGACATCATGGTGCAATTAAGAGGATCCCAGCAGAAACACTGATCTCCAACACTCAAGAATGACAGAGGTGAGCCCTGGACGGTTTGGCGCAGCGGTTGGAGCGTCGGCCTGCGGTACTGAGAGACCCGGGTTCGGTTCCCGCTAAGGGCATGTACCTTGGTTGCAGTTTGTCCCCGGCCCTGGTTGGTCATGCGGGTGGCAGCCACTCAATGTGTCCCTTCACATCGATGTTTCTCTCTCTCTCTCTCCCTCCCCCTCTATCTGAACAAAAAATGGAAAAATGTCCTCGGGTGAGGATTAAAAAAGAATGACAGAGGTAACCTCCCAGACTGGTGTTTGCTCTGACCTATGGCCTCTTAGAACCACAGTCTGGACACCTAAGAATTACCCTAGGGAAATGGAAGAGCCAGGAAGGGAGCAGATCCTGGAGCTCCTAAATGCATGCTGATGCTGCCCAGGTGCAGAACGGGCTTTGCCTAAATCAGAGAGGGCATTGGGTGTGCCTAGACTGCTTCCATCTTTGGGCTGGCGAAGTGTTTGGCGACCTGCTGGTGTGAAGGGAGCTGAGTGCTTGGTGCGCAGGAGGGACTGGGGAAATGTCTGATGGGTGAATTGCCCAGAGGTTGATGGTCCACCCACTTCCAGTTGTGGAGTCAGCGTTCAGGGCCCCTCCAGGGTGTGACTGGTTGAGGACTAAGCCACCTCAGTGCCCTCTCCTCCAGTGAAGGAGGAACATGCTTCAGAAAACTTGATCTCGGGCCTTTCAAGTGGAGATAGTGGAAGATTACCCAGCTCAGTAGCTCCTCCTGACGTAGATCAGCAGATTGAAGCTTCTCAGAATCCCGGGGGAGCATCCAAGTTAAGGGATGGAGAGGGATATCTTGCAGGGGCAGGTTTCCTGGGAGTGTTTGGAACTTCCTAAATACAACAGGAAATGAATGGCATGAAACAGCCAGCTCTTACCCCCCACACCATCAGAAAAAATGTCAAGTTTTATAGAAACTTAACTAACCCACCCCAACCAGTCGTTCCAAGCCACTGAGTTTAGTAGCCTCTAAAGGGGAAAAGACTGTCCTAATGGGGACCCCCATCTTTACCTGGACCACCATCACCAGCCTCTTTTCCAGGTTACCTATCTCTAGTCCTTCATCCAATTGTCTTCCAGACCATCATTGGAAATGTGTTTCCAAATCACAAATCTGGTCACTTTCTTAATACTCCCAAAAGGCTCCCATTGTCTTTAAGGTGGAATAAAGATCCCTCAACTTGGCATGCAAAGCCCATCAAAATCTGGTCTCCATGCAAGCTTGAAAGGCAGCCAGTACAAAGCAGTAAAGCTGTTAAAATATTGAGATACCTCTGTGCTCTTCCAGTGACCCTTTGCCATTCACCAGCCAACCCCCTTGCCCACTTGGCTCTGGGCCAGAACCCTGGTGAGGAAGATGATGTCTCAGATGGCATTTAGCACTGGCTCCCTGATACGGACCAGCGTTCCCCAGAGAAGCCCTTGCATGGGCACTTTGGGAACTACAGCTTCAGCAGAATGCTGCACTGGTCGTTAAATGCAATATTTTGAATACTACTCCTGCCTTAGTCAACTTTACAAGACTTACTGTTTGCCATTCCCTTGTTTATTTATTTGTAGAATGAATTAAAGAACTCCTGAATGAATAAAGGAGGGGATGATATATGACCAGCACCTGCTACCTTCCCAGCCTCGTCATGAAGGAAGGAGGTCTATCGGGCATGTTGGTGGGTTGGAGGATACACAAATAAGATGCCACCCACAGTGACCTCAGAACTGCCATTTAGTGACCAAGGTGGTCACTCAAGCAGGGCCTTTCTTTAGTGGGTTATACCCTGGCCAAGTTCTCAGCCATCCAGATTCAGAAAGTGGACTTTCTCATTCACCCCAAAATAATCAGTCTTTCAGGGAAAACTCACACAATCCAGCTTTAAGAGATACTGATGCAAAGTGAGAATTGGAACTGAACTGTTTATGATGATGACCACAGTGTCCAGGTGTTTCAGGTGATACCCTGTCAATTGTGAAACAGAAATCCTAATTCAAAATGACTTAAAACACGAAAGGGATTTATTGGCTTGCAAAGCTGAACGTCCCAGAGATGAGTCTGGTTTTGAGTACAGCTGGATTCAGGGCTCAAGTGGTATCAATGGGACTCAGTTTTTTTTCCTTTCCGGGGTCTCTCTCCTTCCATCTTCAGCTGCACCGGGTGGCAAGGTGGCTTCCCGACATCCGGGGTCCCATTTCTCAGCTTTCCGTCTAGCTGGCAAGAATGAAAGACTGTCTTCTGGAAGCCCCAGTAAGCATTTCACGGCATCTTGTGGGCTCTACTAGGTCAGCTGGCCCTGCACGCGTCCCTGTGGCCAGCAGATGAATGTTGTATTCTGATGGCCTGAGGCCTATATCACCTAGGAATCTGGGGATCTTTCATCCCTAAGCCAAGAGGTGGGGCCTCATCCACAGCTCAGGGCTGAGAGTAGGTGAAAGAGAGGGAAGTTGGACCTGGGGACCGCAATGCCAGACAGCAAAGCCAGCTGACGCCCACGGTTCCAGGGCACAGCTCTGAGGACAGCAAATCATCCGTTCGAGGTTTGCTTGGTGCGTCAGAGTAAAGCAAGAGGAGTATTAGAAAGTGGGGAGAATAATTTCCACTAAGACCCAGGAATTGTCCTCCCCCAAAGCAGAAGACCTGTCTCTAGGGCAGAGCTGGGGGTAGGAGAACAACCCACCTCTCTGGAGCCCCATTTCTGTGCTGGGCCCATCCCTTCCGTTGGCTCCTCCTGTCTTTGTTCAGAGGAGACAGCATCCCCGACTCTCTCCCAGGGCTGTCGGGGAGTCACCGCCCAGCCTCACCCGTCCTCGAGGTTTTCTCGACTTTGGTTCATCCACGTGGATCTGTGAATAGAGCGCATCCCCACGGTCCCTGCAGCCTTCCTCAGAGCTGTCCTGCTTCCGCTCTGCCCTGCGGCCTGGCGAGTGGAGCAGGGCAGATGTCCACGCCTGTCTCACAGGTGCTGTGATGGACAGAAAGAGGAGGCAGCACCCCGCCCAGGTTCCCACGCTGCACAGAGGCTAGCTCCCCACGATGAGCCCCTGGCCCAGCACTTCTTCCATAAAGGAAGCTGCTTTGATGTCTGCAAGGGGTCAAGGTCCAGACCCTCCTTAACCACTGACATGTGCCTGAAGACTCGCCCTCACAGTGGAGGCAGAGGCCTTTCTCTTGGCCACCCCAGGCAGTTCCCTGCTCCTTTCTCCTGTCCTTAGCTCCTGAGCCGCCCTCCGCGGCACTGCCCTTGTTGTTAACAGGCTGGAGGGCCAAGTCCTCCTGGCTGTGGGCGGGGCCTGCACGCGGTCTGCCCCTAAAGACTGACGAATCTCCTATCTAGATGCAGCTGGTGCTCAGATAAGGCCAGATGGATGGCAAACAACGTTTGAACTGGCAGGTGCCATTTGTTAATGTGCTTTAGATCAATGGCTTCCAAAATTAAAACATTCTGTATCTGTCAGATGGTCCCCACCAGGCCTCTGGCAGGGCAGAGGTGCCAGCTTCAGGTTGGTGTGAGGGTAGGGGCAGGGGAGGGAGGACAGGGGGAGGGGGTATTTCCCACCAGAGCCACAAAGAAGTCTCCCCCAACCACAGGGGCTCCAGAGGCTCCCCCAAAAGTCAGAAGATGAGGAGCAGGAAGTGCAGACGCTAATGTTTTGTAGCTGGAGAGTAGAGGAGCATGCTCCCCAAGCTTCCCAGAAATCGGAGCACTGTCCTGGGTTTGGACACAGGCCTGAAACATCCCGGCCTCCCTCCCTCCCGTGGAGAGCCAGAGCCAGTGGTGAGAGGCCGGTTCCCCTTCTGGCATCCTTCGGGATCGGCGGGCATAGCGGAGGCTGGGGGTGCCCCGTCTCATCTCCCTCCAGCCCCCTGAGTTCGCCTGAGTTGTGAAGACGGGTCTCAGCACTCACTCCCAGCACCAGTCGCTCTCCTCTGCCTTGCTGGCCTCTCTGAGTCACCAGGCAGGGCTGGGAGTGTGGGGAAGTCAACGCCTGGGCTGGAGGTCGCAGTGGCTACACAACTGCCCCTGCTCCTCCCCAGACACCCCCACATCCTTCACTGGCGCCCTCCTGAGGCAAGGGCCAGCCACATGGTTTCCAGAAGTTCCCCAGGGGACTAAGTCTGGCTGCCCATGATGGTGCCGCTTTCGTGAGTTTCACTTGAATGTCTCTCTCCTCCCATATCTAACTTGCCCACTTCTTCCTAGTGCTTCCTGGGATCACCTTCCACAGAAATACCATCTCCTTGTCCTGCACGAAGGCTCCTCTCTGCCTGCACTTGGCCTCCTCCTCTCTTCCTCTGAGCCTCCGGGACCACAGGGCTTTGCAAGCAGAGGGCACAGAACGGCCCACACTTGGCTCCTGGCTCCACCCTGATGGACGACAAACCCCAGAGCATGGCCCCCTCCTCGCCCACCCCACTCTCACCTTCGCCTCGGCTTACCAGTCGGCGGCCCAGCCACAAGCTTGATCTTTCTGGACCCGGTGCATCAGCACAGTAACGTGGTAGGAAGAACAAGGATGGTGCTTGGCTTCCAGCGTTGGCATTAGCTGCGTGGCCTTGGGGAAGACACATGACCTCTGTGAGCCTCAGTTTCCCCGTCTCTATAGTTGGAAAAGTATCCAGACCCGGCTGGTGGATTGTTGTTGCTACAATCAAATGAGGAAACATATCATTGTGAAACTCGTTGTGAATGATGATATTTTCCGTGGCTGAGATTTAACGAGTACCCACCAGAACCGCTCTACCTGTTGTTTCTGGCTCTTGTTTGCTCTGCTTGTTTGGGGCCTGTGCCAGCGGGTTGTTAAATCTTTTCACTATCACCTCTGACTAACAACACCATGGTTGCAGGTACACCTTGTACCCCCTGCACGGCAGCCACCGGCCTAGCTCCCCGAGTGGTAGAATCCCAGCTCATCCAGAATGGGAGTTTTGGGGAGCTCTCCCTTCATCTGACTATGCCAAGGGAGAACATGTCGATGTGTCCTAATGCATCCCCCAGACAGATGGACGCCTCTTGCACCGCACAAACACAGCCACTTGCGCAAACGTGCCACAGGGCGGGCGGCGAGGCCCAGCCGGTTGCTGGGAGTCCACTGTTCCACCAGCTAGTTCGGCAGGCGTGCCTGAAGGGCTACGTGCTCTCTGAAAAAGGCCTCCACACACGAGGTCCTCAGCAGCATCGGGTACCTATGCAGAGGGCCCTGTGAGTGGGCGCACTCTCGCTGGTGCAGAGAGGCTGACCTGGGCTCAGCTGTGTGTCACCCAAGCCCTGAACAACACTGGAGGTTGAGGAGGACAGTGTGGGGACAAGACAGCAGGAGCTCGGGTTGGGCACAGGAGGGGTGTACTGACAGGACAGAATGTGGCCGCCTACGGGATGGAATAGGAAGACAGGCTAAGCCTTCATTAACATCTGTTCGCATATTCATCATCAACTGCGAGTTGTTTAAACTAAACTCAAGCATACACAGAAATCACAGTGACTGTCAGAAAATAAGACTTTTCAGTTCTGCCTTTTGCCTTGGAGGACAAAAGATTGTAAATCTGCCCTGTGTAATATTCATAATCAGTGGTCAACTCCAACTTAATTAAACTTAAACACACCCACCCTACCCCCCACTCCCAGCCCCAGCCCCAGCCCAGCCCAGCCCAGCTCGGGATTACACTAAACGTCCTTCCTGCCCAGTCATGACAACTGGGGCTTTGAGGCTGGCACCAGGCCCTGGAATAACTCACTCGTGGGGAGAACACAGCCATGGTGGGGATGTCGGTCTGTGTGCCATCCTCGGGTCAAGAGGCAAGCTTTGATTGGGGGTGGTCTGGTGTGCAAAGGAGGAAGCCAGGACTGAGAACACCAGTTTCAGGAGGAGAGAAAATGGACATTTATTCAGAACTTCCTGTCTGCAACCCTCAGTGGTACCTGTAAGTTCTGGAAAGTTCTGTGAGTGCAGCCTACGACATGGTGAACACTTCTTATTGAATTATCTCAGCTGGGTGCTGAGTGTCATTTCTGTCCCTCTTCCCTTTCCCACAGTCCCCTCCGTCTTACCTGCTGTCGCTTCGCCAGGCTCCTGCACCGAAGGCCTTTAGTCCTGTACCATTTCACACGAGGAGGAGGGAGGGAGGGGTGTGGGGAGGCAGCTTTTCCTCCTGAGCTTAACTCTACTATGTTACCATGTTACAATATTACCACACTGTCGGGATGCCACCTGTTGTCTCTGTGAAGACTGGCCCCTCACCCTAGGAGGTGGGCAGGGGAGGAAGAACATCCTGTACCCTCACAGTGCCATAGGCCCCATCGCCCACACGCGCTCACCTCCTGCTCACAGCTGCCTCATCGCGGTCCAGCCCCTTCTGTAACTGAGGAAACCAAAACTCAGAAGTGCCGAGGGACCCCATAATACAGGGAGCGAGTCTTGAAGCCAGAACTCAAGACTTGTCTCACATCAAAGCCCATGCCCCTTCCCTGAGCCCCTGCCTCTGTCCTGGCTTGACCCGAATCCATTATTCTGTGTCTCACGGGGTGCGATGAGCTCGGTTTAATTCTGATGTTTCAGGTACAGCAAAGAATTTGGTCAACAAGTAGAGAGAGCATTGCTGGAGGAGCTCAGACATGGGGGATGTCCAGGGTCCCAGAGTCCTAGGGGCAAGGCCCAGCCCCTGGGGAGCCAGATGAGGATGAGAACCCAGCTGTGGCGGCTACACTTCAGGGCAGGTTTCTGTAGTTGGTTGAATTACCCGGACGGGCTCTAAATCATATGGCTGGTGTCTTTATAAAGGCAGAGATGGGGAGATGAGACACACAGAGAATGTGGGGTGATGGCAGAGCAGAGACTGGAGCAACGTATCGACAAGCCATGACACCAAAGACTGCCAGGGAGAGATGTCTCCCGCAGAGCCTCAGGAAGAAACCCACCCTTTTGACCTCGGGAATTTGGACTTCCGGCCTCCACAGTGAGAGTACATGCCGTTGTTTTAAGCCAGCCAGTGTGGTAATCTATCACAGCAGCTGGCAGACGACACAGCTCGGCTCCTGGATAGACTCAGGGACGATCCAGGAAACACCAGCTATGGGTGTTTTCAGTGGCTATAGGCAGAGGCTGGTCCTGGTCAGAGAGGAGCCAGAGTCTCCCCAGGAACCGCACACTGATGATAGAAGCTCAAAAACTCCTCCCTCCACTTGAGGGAGTGGCTGAGCTTCAAGTGCCCTCCAGGTCCGGGTCAGAACAGGTTCAGGGTCTTAATGGCGAACAGGTTCGGTGCTGCTGCTGAGTGAGGCTGGGGCAGGCAGGAGCAGGCTCTGGGCAGAAGGTCAAGCAATTTCAAAGATGTATATGGTGCCCTGTGGTGGAGCATGTGGTCCTACAGGTGTGTGCAGGGGAGGGGAGATGGACTCATCTGACCTTGTCTTCATGAATTGACTGTACATTTGAAAGAACAGCTGCAAGGCCAGCTAACTATCACCCTTTGGTCCGCAGGTTGGGTTTGGCTTCTCTGACACAGAGCTGGAGGGCGCCTTCCACTCTCTCCTCTCCACACTGCACCCACTAAGCACCATGCCCATGAGGGAAGGAAAGCCCAGTGCGGGCCCTACAGGGGCCCTGGCTGAGGGGCTGAGGTCAGGAGCCAGGACTGAACTTATGCAGGAATTTCTACTTGTAGCATCTTGGAGCCTGAAAAGCAGAGGAGTCAATGCATTCAGAGTCCCAGGGAAAGCTAAGATCCAGAGGCCTGGAAGACAAGGCTCAGGCGCCAAGTCCAAGTTCTCAGGATGCAGAATCAAAATCGAGGTGTCAAGGCAGGAATTCAGAATGGAGCAGAGATGGAGTTTGGAGGGAGAACAGACCAGGGATGAGCAAGGCAAGTCCAGGGTAGCTACCCTGCTGCACTCGTGCTAAACGACTGTGGTTCCCCTTTGAGGGATAGCAGGACCTCAGTACGTGACTTGGGGTGAGGGGAACCCAATTTAAAGGGATCAAGGTAATGCTAACACCAGCCAGGGAGCCCTATGCTCAGCTGGAAAGGTCAAACCATAACACTGGGCTTCAATTCAGGGGTCAAATTCTCCCCTCTCTTCAAAACCTCTAAAGAAGCCCCTAAGGTCCACCTGGGAGTGAATCTGTCTTCAAGGTCAAGCCTGGGAGGAGGGGAGCAGAGCAGAGGCTGACAGAATGGGCAGCAGTAAACACTCCAGAAGCTTCCAGTAGAGCACAAACCCCGAGGATGGGGTCTGAGGCCCAGCACAGCAACACTCAAAGGCACCCACTGC